CACCTCGTCTAGGTTGTGTTTCCCACTACCCCTACCTCTACCATGAGAGTGACCACTGGACGACATACTAGATGAAGATTCGTCTTGTCTCTTAAAATGGTACCGTACTGGGGATGGAACTGATTTCCGTTCACCATATACATACTCTTGAAATGACATATAATAACAAGATGTCATCTCACCATCACTTGGTAACATGTTTTGTCTTTGTGGTTGTCCCTCCTAAAAAATTTAACATATTAAAAATGCATATAAAAGTATAATAATGAAGTTTATTAATAATAAAAAATTATTTATAAACCTATATCTTTGAAAAAATCTTGTTCACATCAACCCATTTCAATTTTTTTGTCCCACTTCATCGTTTCATCCGAGACATGTCTTTATTTTTTCTCAATAGAAATCCACATGCAAGAACAACCGGAAGCATCTCATATATCCATATCTACAATTTTTACAATTATAGTAATAAAAGTTAAAATTAAAATAGAAAACATAACAATAAAACAATTTAAATATAAGTAAATTTTTATACCCTTATTGGAGCCGTAAATCCTGAGACGGAGTATTTTAAAGTTTGACGACGCTCAGGAAGTGATAAATATTTATTTATCTTGTTCCATGTATCCTCAAGGTCATCATACGTAAAATCCCATAGATAGTTACCGCAAGCGAAACTAACAAAAAAAAATAGCTATAATATAAATTAACATTAATAATATAAAACTTTCAACGTAAACAAAATATACCTGTTTCAGACATCCAAATTCTCAGCAAAAAAAGCAATCTTGTGGCACCCGATCATTTATTTCTCTTTCCAAAAAACTTTCACACAAAATGTATATCAAACATACGTTAACTGTATCGGCGTCATCAACTTCTAAGAATGGTTGATTTAAAATAAAACTCTTCAGTTCGCCGATTTTCACCGAACTATTTGTATAGTTCGGAAATAGCCGCTCACGCAATAAACATCTTTTTTTACTAGTTACTATTTTTTTTGACATTTTTTTCTCGATGTTTTTTGGATACTCCCTAAAATTGAAGCCGATTATCAAACAAAACTCTTCCGGCCCATATACCATTTTCGTATCGCATACTCTAAAATATAACCGTTTTATTCCATCTGGAAATAAAACAACGTCCGACCGGATCTGATGAAGGAACATTTTATTGAACAACAATCCGTCCCCTTGTAAACGAGAGACATCCAACAAATAACCAAATATGGTATCTCTAAATATGTCACGCCTGACACCATCTAACACTTCAAATACTTCCCATATATTACACCTCGAGCCTTTTAAGTTTACAATTGTTTTCACATTGAAATAATTAAAATTATATTGCACAAAAACATATTAGAGAACTAAACAAATATTTCTTTTTAAAATATATGATTATTAAGTGCAATAATAACATAAACAATAATAACAATGCAAATGCAAATATTTAATAAATAATTTATATATTTACGATAAAAAACAAGAACGTACACATAGTATAATAATTTTTCAACTTAAACAACAAATATATAAACAGTTTTCCAAGTTATACGACAAATATACAAACAATTTTTATCTTTCTAATTATATAAAATAACATTTTCTAACCATACAAACAAACAAATTTTCAAATAAAACGACAACTAAATTAACAATTTTCCAAATTATACGACAAATATATACAGATTTTCAACTTATACGACAAATATAAACAATTTCTAACGATACTATAAAAATTTTTATACTTCAAAAACAAATATATACAAAATTTCAACTTATACGACAAATATATATACAAACGACTATTGTACACATACTGTAATTTAACAAATTTTCAATTTATAAAAACAATTACACGATAAAAATATACAATTTTTCAAGTTATACAACAACTATACAAACGATAAATAACATATTGTAAACATTATTCTAACAGTTTATTTAACTAATAACTTAAAAAAGTGAGCATATTCTAATCATTTTACTAAATATACAACCATCCGATGTACACTCTACGCAGTCTCTACTTATACATTCATACAACTAATAACAAAATAGCATTTAAACTTCAAGTTTACTAATAACAAATATTAAAACTATCAAATACAACAAAATTACTCTTTCACAAATATTATAATTTCATTTTTTTTACTCTAACTAATACAACAAATAATAAAATAATAAAGATATATACTAAATAAATGTTAATTAAAACATTAAAAGAGTTAAAATCTAACCATATTTGCGGGATTATTGAAAGAATCCTCCATTTTCTTCAAAAAATCATCAAAAGGAATCCCCGAGAGAGAGAGAAAGAGAAAGAGTTTTTCTGTAATGAAGAGTAAAAAATGAAGAAAAAAAAATCTTATATAAGAAAATCTGCATAAAATCGCAGATAGCTACAGTAAATCGCAGATGGGGCTATTTCATTTATCAAATCAATGGTCAATTTTATAATTTCGATTTTTTTGGTTAAATTTGTAAGATAATTAGTGTAATTAGCTAAATTTGTTATTTTCTCTATTATATATATTAAGTAATTAATGTTTTATATTAATATAATATAAAAAATATTATATATCAAAGTGAACTCAATGTTACTCTTTGTAATATATAAAAGATATATATTTATAAATATTTAAATTATATAGTTGTATTTTACATAAACATTTATTTTATGTACTATAAATATTTTAATTATAGAGTTGTATTATGCTATTCACAAGAACTACCTAGTTAATGTCATTATGTCAAGGGCAACAAGTTGATCGTAAAAACCCTCTCGAGTCTCGACGTTCGAATTCACTGTTTGCACCCACCACAATCGGTTTTCAGGAAACCCAACACTGACAAAGTGCACGAATTTCAAAGCAACGTAAATACCCACAACCAAAACACGCAAATCCACCGGCCAAACCAAACTACCCACTTTAATTCTACAGAGAAATGGGCGAGAATGGCGCAGATGCCATGGAAACGGAGATGAGTAACGGCGGCGGAAGCGGAGGAGGAACAGGTAGGTGTTTGAGCAGCTTCGTTGACGAAGGTAGCACTGAGAGTCACAGATACTACCTTTCACGTAGAACACTGTTAGAGATGCTCAGAGACAGAGGTTACGATATCTCAAATTCGGAAATCGAGTTCACTCTCCAGCAGTTCCGGGACCTCCATGGTCAAGCTGTCGACGTTGACCGTCTTCGTATCAGCGCTTCTCATGTTTCTGATCCTGATAATAAGGTTTCTGACTACTCTCTCAAACCTTTCCCTAATTCTTTTCGAATCTTTTTTTGAAATCTAAATGGGTTTGTTCTTTGACGATCAGAAGATAATCTTTCTCTATTTTGGGGGTCTGATTCTTGATTTTGTTAAAATCGTTTGTGATTTTGGAAATTCGCTTTCGTTCTGGTTTATTCCGTGGAAATCAATTGCCTTTTCTGATACATTCATCTCACCTGCCGAATTAGGGAAATCGAATTGATTTATTCTACGATCTTAGAACCGATTGCATGGGTTTTAGGACCTTGATGTTTGATTATTGCTTCGAAAACGAAAGGCAAATCTTCACAAATCTCATTCCTTCCTCACAAAACAAACACAAACATACACAAACACAAGTTGTATTCTTGAGTCGGAAATTGATGCATGTCTTCTTTTTGCATTCAACTTAAATCAATACCGATGAATATAACAAATGCTGCTGAAGCGACAATCTTGGTGCTCCATTTGTAACAAAATCCATGTCAATTGAAATGTGAAATTAGGGCTTCGACCAAATAAGACTGGTTATGTTGTTCTTCAATAGAAACGAAACCCACCAAGCAATTCAGTATACATGTTATCTGTTTACATTTTCAGACTGAAAGTTTGAAACTTTCTGCTTTGTTTTTCCTGATCACAGATTCTCGCTGTTTTCTGTGGGACGGGTGTGGTAAAAGTGAATGCCATCCGTTGGATTGCAACACAGATCATGAATAAGGAGAGTTTAAGCCGTTTGATAATTGTAGTGCAAAATCACATTACAAATCAGGCTATGAAAGCAGTGGATCTTTTTTCATTCAAGGTCGAAATATTCCAAGTAAGTGTCTTGTTGATTTACCCATAAGGGCCCCACTTCTAAAGTGAATGTTATCTCATTTTTGCTCTTTTTACTTTTAAAGTGCGACTTATGATATTCAAATCTATGTTTCTACAGATAACAGATTTGCTTGTTAATATTACAAAGCATGTGTTGAAACCGAGGCACAGGGTCATAACAGATGTAGAGAAAGCAAAACTCTTGAAGAAGTTCAATTTGAATGAGAAACAGGTCAGTGCAAGGTTTTTCATGATTGAAGGGCATTTTAGACTTTTAATCATTCTTTGTTTCACACATTTTCAGCTTCCAAGAATGTCACAGAAAGATGCAATTGCTCAATATTATGGGCTGGAGAAGGGACAGGTGATTGAAGTGACCTACAATGGTGAAATAACTGGGCTTCATGTCACTTATCGTTGTATTTGGTGATCATCTTGCATTAGATTTGGTATTAATGTTAGGGACTTTGTGTGTGTGTGTGTGTGTTTGTATGCTAATGATCTTTAATTCTAAGAAACATAAATGCTTTCTAGGGAGTAGTAGTAGTAGTTTGTGTGTTGAAAAATGTATGAGCATAAAGCAGATTGTGCTGTTTAGAAGTTAATTTGGCTCATGTGATTCGGTTTTATTAAACACCACATAAAAAAAGGACATTGGATAAAAAAGCATTCTAAAGTTACATTACATTTTTTTAATATAATATCATGTTTACAGTTGTGTAGCCTCCACATGAAGCAAAGTTTCTGTAGACAAAAAACTATTCCTGTTTTAGTGCTACTCCCAAGTTCTTTTCTGACGGATTTTATCACGTATGAAGCTAAGCATATTTCAACCTTTAAAAAGAAACATATCTCATTAACGTTCATCACACTTATGATCCAAAACAACATCATCAACATATTCTTAAAAAAAATCGACAGATGGGACAGGATAATGGGCTTACATTAAGCATCGAAGATGATAGAAACACAAATGAAGAATGGTTTGGTTCGATCTTGAAAGCTAAGTTACCACCTTCTTGCACAACTCAAATCAACAAAGTTCCTATCATTCTAAAAGAGCACAAGGATGATGAAAAGTATTACGTGCCCAAAGTTGTCTCTCTTGGTCCATATCACCATGGGAGATCAACCCTCGAGTCTGTTCAAGACTTCAAGCCACTCTTCACAAACAAGCTTGTGAAAGGGAACCATGAGTCACTCAGCAGTTTGTATAACAAGCTTGCTGAAATGGTTCAGACGTTGAAAGGGTATTACAACAATGAAGTTGATCGCTTCTCTGATGATGAGTTCACAAGGATGATGTTGCTCGATGGTTGTTTCATTTTGTATTTCATCGAATATATTTTCTTGAATAATGAAGTAGATTCAGTAGGGTTGAAAAGCCACCAGATTATGTTCGTCCAACAAGATATGTTCTTGCTAGAGAATCAAATTCCTTATCCAGTTCTAACTGAGGTGATGAAGTTTGTGCCAGATGAGATGTGGGATTCCAAGATAAAAAGGTTCGTTGATGACAATATCTTGGCAACAGAAAGACGAAGAAGAGGATCTTGGAAAACTTCTCATAAACCAGTCGCAAATCATCCAATTCCATCTAGTATAAATCATCTTCTCGAGCTTTTGCAAACCAGGCTTACGAAAGAGAAATCTTTAGGCCCAAGAGCAAATGATAGGTATACTTTTCGTAATGTTAATGAGCTTATAGAAGTAGGGATTCGTTTTAAGCCGAGTAAAATCAGATCTCTAGCACATATCGATTTCTTTAAACATGGGTTTTGTGCAAACTTAGAACTCCCTCCGATCACTGTGGATGATGCCACAAAGCCGATGTTGTTAAACTTGATAGCTTACGAGATGTGCTCCAGTGATACAAATGCTTCATGGGTCACCTCATACATATGCCTTTTGGATTCTTTGATCGATCATTATGAGGATGTTAAAGTTCTTCGTAAAGCTGGGATTATTGACAACAGGCTTGGGAGCGACAAACAAGTAGCACTACTGTTCAACGAGTTAGGGACGGATCTTGTGCCCAATAGTTTTGCGTATTCGGATGCGAGGTTTGCAATTCAGAAGCATTATGAGAGTAAGAGGAACACATGGGCTAGCCAACTGAAGCATGAGTATATCAAGAGTCCTTGGGCATTTGTAGCACTATTAGTTGGAGTTGTGGGTCTCTTTCTTAGTGGCGTTCAAGCTTACTTTAGTGTTTGGAGTACGCCAAGTGTTTGTGAAGGACTTTGTCAGGCTTTGAAGACGAATCATCACTTATGATCATCTCCTCAACTGCTCCAGTTTCATCAAAATATTTCATAATTTTTAGCATTTTTTTCTTATTTTCCAGTTGAAATAGGTTAATTTCTCTTTCTATTGGAGTCTCTATATTTTATTTTGTTTTTCGAATTGTTTTAAATTACGATTCATATAAACACAATCAAAAGAAATGCAAATTTATATGGAACCAACACCTTACGTAAAATAAAGTAGTGAAAGCAAACCAACAAAAACACTAGGACTAAACGTGGTTCTACTAGTGAGTATAGATAATATACGTCCATATGGAACATGAAAGTATCTTTGTATTAATCTCAAAACCAAAGGAATATCACATAATGTTTTTTAATGAACAAGAAGAAAAGACAACTCGTTATGTCTCGTTGTTCCCTTGCCGCCAAACAACGGCAAACCTAAAACCACAAATCATGTGGTTCCTTATGTATATAAAATTGAAATAGTCAGGTCTTTTAGCAAAATTAGGTAGATTTTCTATAGCAAAATACCAATTTTTCTATATATATATTTGTTGTATTAAAAAAAAGTAGGTCCTAGGACCTACCTTGTATAAGCATAGCTAGGCCCCTGCCGCCAAAACACCAACAAGAATGACAAGCTCTTTAAAATGATTGCTACTTTTTGTTAGTTAACCTAGCGGTAAGGAGTGATCCTCTTAAATGAAATGTCATGGGTTCAATTCTTTTAGGAAACATATGTGGTATTTGGAAGTATGTTAGTAATTTTTATAAGATAGAATAGTAATTTCTCTTCAAGTCTGTTAGCTGACAGTTAGTAGTTGTTCTCTATTTTCTTTGTACATATATTCATTCTTGTAGCTTGGTCATCTTCTAATGGAGAATACAGAAAAGATGTCAAAACTCTCTCTCAATTGTTCTTGATCTTAACATGGTATCAAACTTTCAATCGATTTGATCTTCCACAATTATCTGTTATTGATCTTATTCTCTTTAATTTCATATTCATTCATCTTTTCTTTTCATTTCAATTTGATCAATCATGTCTTTTCCTAATAACGATTTTACACAATCTGCCATTGTTGATAACTCGAGCCCTTCTAATCTTGGATCAACCGACAATACACGCATTGTTCTTGTTTCTAATGTTTTCACGAGAATTGGCTTTTCCGCCTAGAAATGGTTGATTATTATCACTTTATCTGCCAAAAACAAGTTTGCTTTCGTTGATGGCACCATTTTTCCACCATCTATCAAGTCTCCATTACATATAAGCTTATATAAAGTCAACTATGTAGTAATCAGCTGGTTATTAATTTGTTTCATCGAAACATTGCTGATAACGTTCTGTTTCTTCAAACTACTCATGCAATCTAGAAAGAGCTTAATCATCGCTATGAACAGTCTGATGGTGCTCTCATTTATTCAATTCAACAATAATTGTATTCCTCTACAAAAGGGTATGATGATTTCTCCACTTATTTCACCAAATTAATGAAGATTTGGGATGAGCTTCGAATTTCTTAAGGTATTCTAGATTGCGCATGTGCTGCACCTATTGGAATTAATATAAATCTTGAAGAGAAATGTGTAATTCAATTACTCATGGGGATAAAAGACACTTATAAAGTTTTTCGATGTCAAATTCTAAGGATGAATCCCTTTCCAACTATTTCGTCTGTTACTCCATGATCATACAAGAGGAATGCCAACGAGACAATAATCTTCCTCACACCATCAACACTGATACAATTGATATGGTTATATCTACTGATCCAATTCCTAATTCTTCAAAGAAATCATTGGTGTGTACTCATTGCAAGAAGTTTGGTTTCTAAATCTCAGTGTTACAAATTAATCTACTCTTCATCTACTTTCAAATTCACAAAATCAGATAGAAAGGAACCTAAATCTGTTGTTTAGATTGTAAATACTTATTATTCATCAACTATTTCTCAAGATCAATATCAACATGTTATTCAACTTCAGAACCAAAACAAAATTCACTTCCCCAAGTCATGCTAATTCTTCTATACTTGATGGTGCAATGCATGCTGATGGTAATTCCTTTTCCTTTGCACATTTTGTTGCTGATGTATATAAGTCTCCTGCATTTCTTCAACTACACTTACCTTTTATCATCACTACTTGAGCAACACATCATATGTGTTCCAGTTTACATCTTTTTTTTTATCCATGACCAAATTCAAATGTTCCACATTCAATTTAGCTTCCTAAAGGTCATAGTTTATTCATCTCTCATTATGGTCATGTTCAAATACATGATATCAGCTTGCATGATGTCTTATATATGGCATCCCAAAAATTATAAATGAAAATTTTTCTTTCAATTAGTCAAACAACCCTTCATTCATTAAGCAAACCCATCTGAATATAAAACATGTCATATAATCATCAGAGTAAAAAACAAAATCATAGAATGCGGAACAGTGGTGGATGTAGTGCGATCATACCGAACCCTTCCCTTTTGAACCAGAAGTACCTGAAACCATAAACATAAAACTGTAATAACAAAGCTTAGTGAGTTTCCCCAAAATGCCCATACTAAACATACATAACAGCTTGAAGGTAAACTAGGTTTATTTCACCTTCGAGTCTATTTCTACTTCTTCGATATCTTTTAACCGATATGGGTCTATTTCACCCCTACATATAAGCATATAGTCATATCAACAAGAGTCACAAAGACAACAAGCACATACATGCATATCAACAAGTTTCACAAAGACAAGTATCATCCTAAAAACGTAATCCAGTGGGCTGCCATTGGTTCCTTCGACTCATGAGTACAATGAAGAGACTTACCTCTCAGTTAATACTCAACTACTACATCTCTTACTGCCAGAAACACCATTGTTATGCACATCCTATATAATTATACCAAGTAATCCTTTAGCTCTTCTTTCAAGACTAGGTGTTTGTCCAAAAGTCAACTCAATGCAAAAGTTAAATGTTAAAGGTCAAGATCAACGGTTAAACTTATCCCTTCAGTGAGTCGCCATGTCGTGGCCATATTTGGCCACATCCTGGCACTAAATCAAGAAAATGGTTGAGCCATCCCTAGTCGCCACGACGGGGCGACCTAATGCCACATTGTGGGAACTAGGTTCTAGAAACTTAATGGATTAAGCTATTCCCTCTAACCTCAAGAGCTTCAAAGCTCAGATCTGGTCCTAAACATGGTCTAGAAGGATAAAGTTTCCAACTTTATCCATTAAGACTACCCAAAAGGGTCAAAATCTCAAAACCTAGGTTCCATAAAGGCTAAAAATGAAATGGATTAATCCACTAAACACTTATTTCGAAAAGTCCCAAGCTCATTAACTGCAGAAGGGTTTCTAACACCAAAACTAGCAAAAAGGTTGGTGCCTTATAGACATGCATGTCCAATGCAGGTCTTGAAGCCATAATGAGTCAAAATAAGGGTTTTTGATAAATCTCATGCATGGCACAAAAACTTAACTATACTTCAGATCCAAACCAACATTCACACCAAATGTCCTATAGATTCATAAAGTTGCAAGATATATGAGATCTCACCACTCCAAGTTATAAGAACAAGAGGATTATGGGATAAATTTCAAGATCCAGAAACCTACCATGATAAAGATCGAATCTTGGACATTTACAAGGGTCCAGAAGAGTGCTAAGGTGAGGAATGGAGACTTGCTTGCTAAATCTAAGCTCATTTCTTCTTCTTTCTTCCTTTAAGAACTTATAAGAACACCAAAAAGAGCTTCAAAAATGGAGGAAAGAGGTTAGGGTTTCTTCAAAGATTTAGGATTTTGATGGAGGATGAGGATGAGTAAATCCTAGCCTCTTCATTCCTTTATAGAGAGCAAACCTGAAAAAATAGGGTTTTCCATCAGACAGATGCCACGCCGTGACCATATACTGCCACACCATGGGGGATTTAATGAAACACTTCATCCAAGCTTGCTGCACCACGTCGTGGTGGTGCCTCCATCACGTCGTGGCAACCCTAAAATGTCAGCAAATTAAAACATAACGTACCTCAAGATCCAGGCGTTAGAACTCCCCCTCACTTGAATCAGACTTCGTCTTTGAAGTCTGTTACTGCAAACAACTCTGAATAATGCTCTCTTATCTATTCCTCGGGTTACCATGTCCATTCTAAACCCTTCCGGTGCTGCCATGACACATTCATCAGACCCACTTCCTTGTTTTGTAGTGTTTTTGTCTTCTTATCAAGGATTGCAACTGGTCTCTCTATATAGTTCAGACGTTCATCAACCTGAATATCCTCTAATGGTAGTACTGCATATTCATCAACCAAGCATTTCTATAGCTGAGAGATGTGGAACGTGCTATGAATTTGACTTAGCTCGTTGGGTAACTCTAAACGGTACGCAACCTTGTCCACCTGGACAACAACCCTAAACGGACTGATATATCTGGGGCCCAGCTTGCGCCGATTCCGAAATCGGATGACACCTTTCCAAGGTGACACCTTCAGAAGTACTATATCACTAACCTGAAACTCAAGATCGAAACACCACCGATCTGCATAGCTATTTTGTAGACTCTGTGCAATATGCAATCTCCAGAGCACATGTTGTTTCAACTTGGTAGTCTGGAGCAACACCTATGTACTACCTATGACTCACTAACTGACCTCTCCCCAACAAATCGAGGTCTGACACTTCCTCCCGTAGAGCATCTAGAAAGGATTCTGATCAATACTGGTCTAGTAGTTGTTGTTGTATGAGAACTCTGCCAATGGGAGGTACAAATTCGAACTACCACCAAAGTCCAAAACACATGCCCGAAGCATATCCTCTAGGGTCTGAATTGTCCGCTTGCTCCGACCATCTATCTGTAGGTGGAAAGTCATGCTGAATTGTAATCGATTACCTAACTCCTCGTGAAACCTCTTCCAAAATCTGGAAGTGAAACGCACATCCCGGTCCGGAACCACTAATACCAGGACTCCATGTCGTGAAACTACCTCACGGATATAAATGTATGCTAACTTATCTTTCG